TGCCAGGCCCTGGGCTGTGCTCTGTATGAAATTTCACTTCATCTTCACAGAAACTGTATTATCTCCACCCATTTTGGGGATGAGCATGCGGCAGCTTGGAGAGGGTAGGGGCCAAGGGTCCAAGGTCACATGGCCAGTGAGGGGCCGTCCTGGCACCCTGCCTGTATCTGTCTGGCTCCCAAGCCCAGCTTCTTCACCATCAAGCTCTCCTGCCTCCAAGATTGAGCATCTGGGCTTCGGCATTTGCAGAGAAGGAAGAAGAGTCTTTCTGGTCCAGGGTGTAGTTCTGTCATGTGGACTTTTACAGCCTGGGACCCTCCCTGGGGCCTGGCTGTGTCACCAGGAGCTCCCAGAGGGTTGTTTTGAGCATCTGAGATGACTCTATGGTAAGCCCCTGCTGCGGTCGGTGGAGTGGCTGCGTAGCCCGATCCTCCCTCCTGGCAGCTTTCAGGGCAGAAGGGGCCCAGCTTCTGGTTTTCCCTCCTCCTCCACTAGATGGAGGGGAGTCCTTGTCCCTGTTCCCACGGTTTGCTACACAGGCTCTAGCTGGGTCCCATGTGGACTGCAGGCAGCACGATCCACAGCAGAGGGCGCCAGAGCCTCTTCACACACCCAGGGCCCAGGCCTGGCCCAGGAGGGGAGAACTGAGAGGCAGGCAGGCAGGATGGGTCTGTGTGCTCCCTGCCCATTCCTCCTGCCTCAGTGGGTCTGAGGTCCATGCACCTGCACCCTGAGCTGACAGACAGATGTGCGCATGCCCTCGTGTGTGTGTGTGTGTGTGTGCATGTGTGGGGTGTGCACGTGTGCGTGTGTGTGTGTGTGTGTGTGTGGCAGTTGGAGGGTGGTGGATTCTTCCAGGAACCACATCTGACAGCCCCTGCAGTGTCAAGGAAGGTCAGAGTCAGGGCATAGGAACAGATATTGATTTTAGCCACTGATTCTACAGATCCTAGGAAATCCCCATTTTCTGGGCAGGCATTTCAATTCTAGTTTCTGTCCTACTGTGGGACAGGCAAAGAATGACTTTGCATGAAGGGAGGTTATCAACCCTCCAGGTCTTGGCTATCAGCTTACTCCTGTCATCCTGGTTAACCATCCCAACAGTCACGTGAGCCAGGAGATGTTAGCTTCACTGTATAGCTGAGGATGATGAAAGCTCAAGCTAAGTAACTTGTCTGAGGTCACACAGCCAGGAAGTGGTAAATCGAAGATTTGAACCATGGTCTCTCTGATTCCAAAGTACATGCTGGTTTCACATCTTTGAAACTGGATTTCTCAGACTTGTGCTCCCCCACATGCAGACCCCACCAAAAATGGGCTTGAGAGCAGCCCAGTGAAGTTTCAGGAGCAGCATCTGGCTCATGGCTGGAATGACTGAGCTGAGGAATGAAAGCTGATGGACGGTTTGTGGCCAGTTTCTAGGAGTCAAGGAGTAAGGGACTATTTAGCTGTTTGCTGTGGGCTAGTCAGCTGATAGGGAGTGAGGGCCCAGGTGGGGAGGGAGGTGGGAGAGGCAGAGACAGTGAGGCAGAAATGAGAGAGACAGAGGGAAAGGGAGAGGGAGAGAGACAGAGACACAGAAAGAGACAGAGACAGAGACACAGAGAGAAGGAGACAGAGAGAAAGAGAGAGGAAGAATGAATATGAGGCACCCAGCTGCCTGGCCAGCTTCTGTTGCTAGCTTTGCAAGGAAGCATGATGGCTGGTTGAGGTCTCTTTATGACAGGAAGGCCCGACTGTATCACCAGGCTTCTGGGACAGAGAACAGGGCTTGCAGAATATCTTCCAGGCATGAGAGTGTCTTGTGCACATACATGACCTTGGTGTATGAGCCATTCCAGCTTGGGATGCTGAGGCTCTATAGACCAGCAATGGGCACAGCTCAGATCCAAAATAGAGTCTCTCAGCCCTGCAGTTATGTTCTGGATGCAGTCAGGGGTTAGATGTGTCCCTCTCATCTACGCGACCTCAGTTGCCCCTCCTTGGGGGCCCAGTGCATCGTTTTTCTTCCTCACAAGAGGAAATGCAGGCCCCTGCTCTAGACGTGCCTGGGCTTGGTTTTCCCAAGAAGTCTGCTTCCCGAGGAACAGAAAGATGACCTCTGGCCTTCTCCTTACACAGAGGTCTGCGGTTCTGCCCCCGCCTGCCCTGCAAGCAACACTTGACATGCTTTTTGGGCATTTCTCCCCACCCTTCTCTCCACTGAGTTCTCCCACCTCCCTGCCTGCCCCCTAATCCCTCAAGGTGGGCAACTCAAAGGCCACCGGTCCCCAGGACTTGGCTTCCCAAGAAGCCAATGGAGCTATAAATAACAACAAAACTGCTCTATACGTAGGAGTACCAACTTTCTGGGTCTCTCTAAGGCTAGCAGGGAGGCCAGCAGGCCGGAGCCCAGGAGACCAGCCCGGCCCATCCCATCCATGTCACTGGTGACCTAGAGCTGGCCACTTCCCTTGCCCAGCCTGGGTTACCCTGACTGACGTGTAGGGTTCTCTGAGGCCAGCACTCTTCCCTCCAGTCCACACTGCCTTGAGGGGAGGCACCCAGCACGCCCACCTAGGCCCCATGCTGCCACTTGACCTCCTCCAAGGCCTTCTGCTCTGTCCCTTGAGGGAGGCTCACACCTGGGCCTGAGCAAGGGTTCGCTTCAGCACAGCTGGGAGCCAGAGATTGATGGGGGTGGGGAGGTGCATGAAGGAACTCACCTGAAGGAAAAAAGAAGAACTGGTGTGTAATAGCTGCCAGTTCCCACGGTGTCGATACGCCCCCCCATGACCGATTTCAAGCTACCAACGTAATGCCCCTGCGTGCAGAATTGGGAAAAAGTGTGCAAACAATTGTTCCTGAGCCAGTACAAGCTGGGTACAGCACTGGCACAGCACTGGGCACAGCACTGGCTAAGGGGAAGGCGGTGAATCTGGGGACCCTGCCCTCAAGGGTGCGCCCAATCCCGTGGCGGAGAACCCCCAAGCGGATCTGTAGATCTGCACGTTCCTCCACCAGCTGATTTAAGAAGGGGGAACTAAAAACTCAAGGGAGCATTATGAAGGAATTTCTTTCAGAAACAATCAAATCACTTTGCAATTTAATTGCCTAAATATTTTTTACCTAATTTAAAATCGCTCGTCATGTGAGTAATTGGGCAATGCATTATTGAATTACGGAGGAATGCAGTGCCTAAACTGAAGAAGCAAGCAAACGTTTGCATCTTTGAATCGAGTAGTCGATTGATGCCCGAGGAGGTGTCCACGCGGTGGCTGTGGCGGGGTGCCCCCCCCCCCCCCGGCCTGGCCACCCTCCGCGCCGCCCCTGTTGCTCCTGCCTTCACTGCACTTTGCACCGCTCCTGCTCCCTCCCGAGTTGCCCTTGTCGTCGCTGGATTCTTCTCTTGCGGCCTTGGGCCTTCCCCGGCTCTGTCCTTCCCTTTCTTCATCAAGCTGTCCTCCTGTCCTCCTTTCTATCTGTCCCCGCCTGTGTTTCTACTTACCTGGTCTCACTCTCGCTGTCTTCTGTCCCCCTCTGGGTGTATTGTGTTTGCTTTGTTCCCTTTCTCTCTCCCCGCCTTTCTCTTCACTCCTGGGCTGGTCCTTGCCATCCCTGTTTCTCTTAGTCTCTGTTTTTCTTGGAATCTCTCCCTTTTCTACACAGACAGGCGCAGACACACACATGCGGACACAGACACACACACACGTAGACACACATGTAGACACAGCACACATGTAGATACACACAGGTACACAGAGACACACGCCTGTAGACGCATGCGTAGAAACACAGACGTGGGCATCCCACAAACATGCACACAGACACACACAGACACACGCAGACATAGACACACACAGAGCAGGCGGAGAGGAGAGTCCATGAAGGGTGTGTTACAGCTTCTGCTGTGGAGGGCGGGGGGCCGCGTCTGGGTGGGGACCCTGTGACTTCTGGAGCAGGCCCTAGAACTGTCCAGCCAAGGGGCGAGGAGCCAGCAGTTCTCATCCCTTGCTGGTCGAGGGCTGCTCCTGGGGTGTTAGTGCCCGGCATTCCTGTCTGACCCATGTGGGGGCCAAGTTCAGTCCAGGGCCAGAGAAAGCCCTTATGAAGAGAGACCAAGAAGCCTAAGGCGTGGGCCTCAGGATGGGCAGCAGCAGAGAAGACTCTTCCGGTCAGTGCCTTTGGATGAGGCAGCACAGAGGCTGCTGGTGGCCTGGGAGGGCAGTCTTAGTGCCATAAAGGGGCAGAAGCCAGAGAGGATGGACTCATGGGGAGAATGAGAGACAATGTGGAGAAGATAGACTATTCTGAAAAGTATGGATGATGGGAACACTGCTGGAAGGTACCTGGGGCAGGGGAGAGGGTGAGCTGGGAGCAGGTTGACGTGTTGCTCGGAGTCAGGGAAAGCAAGCAGGTGAGCCTGCAGGAGGAGCAGAGTGCACTACTCAGCCGGCCCCAGACTGACGGAAGTATAGGTGGGTCCTCTCCAGGGAGCACCAGCCCACGCCGATTCACATGGAACAGCCAGGGCATGGAGCTGACACCTTGTACTTCCATTTTTCTCCTTGGGAGCCATGGATTGGCTTGGCATGACCCAGTTCTGCAAGCATTTCTTTGATTGAGTGGAAGCAGACAAGGCCTCTGCTCTCCAGGGGAGCAGATCCCATGCCAGGCATCAAAGGGGGGTGAGGAAATGAGGAAGACCTGTCTTCCTGGTCTAGGGAGGTTGCAGATGCGCCATGACAGATGAATGCAGCAGGCTGGGGGCGTGCACCAGTGGATGCAACAGTGAGCAGGGGTAGGCCTCAGAGGGGGCAGCTGTACTGTCGGGGCTGGGGCAGTTGAGCCTTGAAAGATGATGGACATGCAGAGGTAGAGAAAAGAGGCAGCAGGCATTCCTGGACTCCAAAGCCTTCCCAGCCTGCTGGAGTCTTCTGGTGGCTAGTTATCACACACTCTCAAGACTAGGGATCCAATGGCAATTCTTCCATAGCCAGACCCCTCCCACCATCCTCTGATGGAATCAGACTGCCCTTGTTGGGGAGATGGGAGAGGCCAAACATGTTGGTTGAAAGGAGGTGAGCAATACCACCTTGGTCCTCCAGCTTAAGGGGAGAAGGCTGCTTGTATAGGTTCCATTCCTTGGAGTCAAAGGCTGAATAGCCCCCCAAAAGATATCCAGATCCTAATCCCCAGAACCTGTGACTGTTACCTTATGTGGCAAAAGGGACTTTGCAGGTGTGATCAAGTTAGGGATCTTGATATGGGGAGATTCTCCTCGACTAGTTAGGTGAGTCCCAGTGTAGTCCCAAGGGTCTCTGGAAGAGGGAGGCAAGGAGGTCCAGGAGGACTTAGGAGACATGACACTGGAAGCGGAGGTGGGCCCAGGATGCTGGCAGCCTTCAGAAGCTAGAAGAGGCAAGGAAACAAATCTCCCTTAGAGCCTCTGCACAGAACCCACCCTGAGGACACCTTGACCTGAGCCCGGTTGAGACTGATTTTGGACTTCTGTTCTCCAGAACTGTAAGAAAATAAACGTGTGTTTTTGTGTGTGGGTTTTAAGCCACCGAAGCTGATGGTGATTTGTTCCAGCACCAGAGGAAGCAGACTCAGCCATTAGATGTACATGCTCTTGGGGCATGCTCTTGGGGGGTGAAGCGAGCAGAGGGGGGCAGAGGGAGCAGCTCAACTGATAGGGAGTCATAGACAACTCCACACATAGCTGCCTCAGATGGAAGCATGAGCCGTTGGCATGTGACCCACACTCTGAATGAGGATGCGGCCTTGGAGAGCAGTTCCTGGGAGAGGCAGTGTGCCCTCTGCAGGCCACACTCACCAGGTCCCGAAGGAGGTCTGGGGGCACCACTGGGTATCCCCACAGCTGTGGAAGGTGCCCCCTCTGAGTCTTCTTCCTCTGGTCTACAGGCCTGGTACTTGACCCCTTTTCTACCATCCCAGACTTCTTCACCTACCAGGGAGCTCCACAGTATGTCCACATCTTTCCCTGAGCCATGAATTGGGGTTTTATTCCCAGTTTCTACAGCTACCGCTGAGAACCTTCCAGGCACTGCTTTCTTTACTCCTGGGAAGAGCCCTCACTATCATTCCCATTTTACAAATGAGCAAATGGATACTCAGAAGGGCGAAATGAATGCCCAAGTTCAGGGCCAAGATGCTTCCCGAGGTCAGCTTGGTGCCTCCTCACTGCTCTGTGACCTTGCCTCCCATCATTCAGCATTTTCTTATCAGTAGTGCCATCGTGAGACAGGCCCTTCAAACTGTTTTGGCCTCAGTTTTTTTTGGAACTCTGTCCTGCCTCCCTCCTAGGGCGGTTTTCACTTGGCTCCAAGGAGATAAGATGTTAACAGGCTTTGTAGGAGGGCCTGTGGCCCTGCTGCTCTGACTCCCTGGGCCCTCCCCGCCGGGGCCTCTCCCTCATCCATTCCTGATAGCTCTGGGCCCGATCCAGGGGAGAAGGAGGAAGTCGAGGGGAAAGGTCTCATCTCTGGCTGCTCGTGATTTTCAAGTTCAACTTGTCACCATTCTTCAGTTTCCCTTAATGCTGGGCATTACGCAGGACAGCTGTGTAGGCTCTCGTGGTTTGTGTGCTGGGCCTCGCAGGTGGGGAGGTATGGGTTGAAATCCAGCCATGGTGGGCACCTTCTGCTTGGCACAAGGCACCATCTGCTAAGAGGCTGCACCCACCGGGAGGGGACAGCCTTTTCAAATTGTCGCAAAAGCCCAGTGCTGGTTCACAGTGGGCGGGAATGTGTTGGTTTTGCAGGAGGGCTGGTGCTGCAGCTCAGACCTCAGACCCTGGAATCCAGAGCAGAGAAGAGAAGTAAGGAGCACCTAACTCACTGTCGCAGAAACGGAAACCACTGAGATCCCTCTGTGGGCGCTGCTCCGGCCTTCCCAGAGGTAAGTGGAGGGAGCCTTGGGGCCCCGGGGTTGCCCACCTCCGAGCCTTTGCAGGCCTCTCTGCACAGGAGGCCCCGCCCCAGCTGGGCCCCCGGAACCAAGCACCGAAGGGCACAAGTCCAGGGCCGTTACTCCCCTCCTCACTTCTCCCTTCCCAGTCCTCTCTGTATGAGAGAGGCTCTGGATCGTTCTGGAGTGCTGTGCCTCAAAGCCAGACTTCAGAAACTTCCATGGTTCCACCTTATCTAGACTGGCAGTTAGTGCCCATCTCTCTCTCTCTCTCTCTCTCTCTCTCTCACACACACACACCCTCATGTACCAAGACCAACTGCTGCTCCTTTCTCTCCCCTCATTTCCCCTTGGCTCCCTGCCATCTCGTCCCCCAGAAACCACCTCCAGACCTTTGCACAGACTGTGGCCTTTCCCGAACTCTTTCCTTATGCATTCTTTTCCACCATCTATATATTAACACCCCTTCCATTCTACACAAAGCCCCTCCCCTCAGGCATCAGCTGGGCGATGGGCCGGTACGAGGGGGCTCTGGCAATGTGGCTTGGTGCCTTGAGTGCCCTGGGGACTGGTTTGAAGAGCGCTCCTGGTGCGTGCTCTGTGGGGCCCGCACCAGATGGCAGCCGCCTGTGAGGTGGGGGCTACCTGGGCAGGGTTGACGGTCCCCCTCTGGCTATGAGCAGGTTCCAGGCCCCCAGGAGGCTCCCAGGCCTCCCCTCCCAAGCTGTGAGAACCAAAAGTAGAGAAAACGAAGCTCATCAGGCCACTCAGCTACTTCTTCTGCAGGATTCCCAGGAGACCGCCAGCTTGTAAGCGGGTCAACACGAATTTATTGAGATGGGGGACCGGAAGATATCAAGGATGAGTGACTAACATGCACTGTCCCCTACGGAGGCCACTAGCCACGAGTGGCTACTGGGCACTTGAAATATGGCTCATCCCAATTAAGATATATGTGCCAAAAATGTAAACTACACACTGGATCTTGAAGAGGACTTAGTAGAAGAAAAAAAAGAATGTAAGAATCTCATTAATAATCTTTATATTGATTACATAGTTGAAACAATTATATTACAGATATATTGGGTTAAGTAAATGTTTTCACTTTTCTTTTTCCTTTTTTAATGTAGCTATTAAAATATTAAGAGATGCATCTGTGGCTCACATTGTATTTCTATTGGACACTGCTGGTCTTGGGCATAGAAAACACGGGAGAGGTCCTTGGATGGTTGTTCGCACTGTGCAACAGGTAGTGTTTAGAAACTGGGTAGAGAACAAAGATACAAATGTAGGGACCCGAAGGGGTACGTGCACCCCAATGTTTATAGCAGCAATGTCCACAATAGCCAAACTGTGGAAAGAGCCAAGATGTCCATCGACAGATGAATGGATAAAGAAGAGGTGGTATATATACACAATGGTATATTATGCAGCCATCAAAAGGAATGAGATCTTGCCATTTGCAACGACGTGGATGGAACTGGAGGGTGTTACGCTGAGTGAAATAAGTCAATCAGAGAAAGACATGTATTATATGACCTCACTGATAGGAGGAATTCTTAATCTCAGGAAACAAACTGAGGGTTGCTGGAGTGGTGGGGGGTGGGAGGGAAGGGGTGGCTGGGTGATAGACATTGGGGAGGGTATGTGCTATGGTGAGCACTGTGAATTGTACAAGACTGATGAATCACGGATCTGTACCTCTGAAACAAATAATGCAATATATGTTAAGAAAAAAAAGAAGAAGAAGATAGCAGGAGGGGAAGAATGAAGGGGAGTAAGTCGGAGGGGGAGACGAACCATGAAAGACGATGGACTCTGAAAAACAAACTGAGGGTTCTAGAGGGGAGGGGGTGGGGGGATGGGTTAGCCTGGTGATGGGTATTAAAGAGGGCACGTTCTGCGTGGGGCACTGGGTGTTATGCACAAACAATGACTCATGGAACACTACATCAAAAACTAATGATGTAATGTATGGTGATTAACATAACAATAAAAAATTATAAAAAAAAAGTAGTAGAGACAGAATAGTGAATACATTTTACCCGAAGCCTGTCAATTTGATATTACCAAATATCATGGTAAAAATTTAGCTTTAAGCAATTAAAAGTCTTTTGGTTTCAAATAACGCAACATATTTTAAGAAAAAAGAAAAAGAAGAAGATAGCAGGAGAGGAAGAATGAAGGGGAGTAAGTCAGAGGGGGAGACGAACCAGGAGAGATGATGGACTCTGAAAAACAAACTGAGGTTTCTAGAGGGGAGGAGGGTAGGGGGGG